TTTGATTTAAAACACTTTTAAGTGTTTTAAAAGTTACGTCACCCGATCGATTGACATTGTAGTCACTTTAAATGCACTTGAAAGTGTTTAAAAAGTGACTACAATGTTAATGAAATGGGTGATGTCATTTTAGAAAACTTTAAATGTTTTAAATTAAAACACTTCCAAATTCGAGATTTGCAGTGTCCTCATATAAGAAATGTACAAAATTCAAAAAGAATAATACAATTTTCACTGTTTTATTTCTAAACATCAGGTTTGATTCATTAAAATAATCAAGTAATACAATAAACTATAGAATAACTATTCTTTTTCAATTAAAATTAATTCGAATGAGAAAAACTCTGATAAAAAAATTGATTGTACATTATATTCTTGTGTAAACTACTTGTTCTATAGATCTGTTAATTTTCCAATAGATTCTTATTAATTTGATAAAGTAATTACCTAATTGATAAACCAATTAATTAAAACTACACATTTTTTATTTTCCAGTGATTATTGTCACTATGCTTAAATAATAAAATTATTTAAAATATTAAACTCAAAATTTAACATTATTATTCTAATTATCACATTCTCTAATTGATAATCTCTGCACTGCAAATCCGAAAGAATTCAAGTGTTTGGTGATAAATCACTTTAAGTGTTTACAATGTTGACCACCATAAAAAAACTATAGCATTTTGGTAAACGGCAAGAAGCGTTTAAAAGTCGACTATAAAATTGCCATAGTTTGTTTATGATGTCCAACATTGCAAACATTTTAAGTGTTTAGTTTTTAAACACTTGGGTTTGCAGTATACTCATTATTTTATTTTTACATAATCCAACTTAGGTGAAATTCAATCACTATTTTATTTAATTTTAAAATTCTACTTACCGGAAAGAAAATTCGAAAAAATCAATCAAGTAGTTTTTAAGACGTTTTAATGAATTTTAATTAAACATGATTAAGTTTAAAATTCTCAGTAATACTAATCACCAAATCCTTTGATCTGTTTTGTATCTCAAAGATCCTACATGATGCAAAAAATGTCGATACTACTTCTATTCTTTTTAGATCTTTATTATTATTAATATAACAAAACATGAACATAAATTTCTCAAACATTTGATTTAAAAAAAAATCTAATTTATTTTAGAATTTCATTGCAAGTTGTTTTCATTAGTTATAAAAATGTAATATTTGACAAAAGAATGCAAGTAAAACAAAATACGTTGTCTAGACAACAATGTATCTCCAACGATAAATATCCATTTAAAATCTCTATACATATCCACATTTATGTTTTATTTCGTTGTAATATTGAAACTTTGAGTGAAAAAGGTAATCAAACATCAAGAAGCATGTATAAGATCGCTTGAACGAGCACTAGAAAGTCACAAAAGAATTGCTCTACTTTTATTCGTTGTAATCTTTTCTTCTTTCTTCTTTCTCCCAGTGAGTTTCTTTTCCTTCTCATATTCTACTGCACAGATTCTCTACTCAAGTGTATGCGAAATTGCTTCGTCGCGTGCTTGAATCACGAATGGCTTCTCCCAACGACGGATTATCTTGGTCTGACTATATTAAGACGCGCCCTCGGGGGCAATACAGCTTTATAAGGATAAACACGATTATTCAAGTTTTATATGTAGTCGGAAACTACTAAGAAAATCATGTCTCTCTTCCCCCTTTACTCACAATTTCATCTTCATCCCTGTTACATTTAGTTGTTATGTATTGTATATTTTGTGTCTAATGTTTCCTCTCTTCACTGCTATTCTCAAGTTGAGTTCTCAACAGGCGCTTACGCTCTTCTCAATGTAAGAATGGAAGTACTCAAGGCGACCGAGACCCATGTTCGCGTGGTTACAATTGCACAAGAATTACCTCAAGTCGTTGTCGACCACCGTAATCGGGCAAATTTATCCGTGTGGTGTTACGATACATCGTGGATAATTTGTCGTCGTTCTAGTTTATCAAACATCTTAACTTATTTACTTTAGTCGCCTATTATCCACTTAACTTGATTGCATGTTGTTTAATTACAAAAAAAAAAAGGAAGGAAAAAAAAACAGCAACAGAAGGCAACAAAAAAAAAGAGAACAATTTATATGTATATTTAAGAGAGAGAGAGAGAGAGAGAGAAAGGGTAAAGGAGAGAAAAAAAAAATAAACTAATATATTCAGGTTGACAAGTTAATTTGAGTGTCGTGTAGTTATTAATATTCATCTACAATTAATTAAGAAAATATCTGTCGATAAATGAGTTGGTGAATCGAAATAGATATGTGTAAGCTGCGAGACCACAGAGCATAGCAATCAATGGAAATTGGGATTACTTTTAAATGGGACCATCATAACGTAATCAATTAAGTGTACATCGACGCGTAAAATCGTTTTGGAAAAGCCGCAATAACGTTTCTCTCTTTATTCATGTGTATATATACACACATCTTTCCCTATTTTACTCCCGCTGTGATGCGTGAGCATGTATACACACACCGGATTGGCGATGACATAACACGTTTAGTCTCACGTCGACGATGAGCGATTAAACGCGTCGACGTATCTGTGTTATACATCCCCACGAGATGTGTGCAACTGCGCGAATGTAAAAGAGAGTCTACTGATTAGAGTACACGAATATTCTGGCAGTGTGTGCAAACAAATACATTGATGTGTAATGCGTATGAGTGTGTGTAAGTGAAAATGCGCGAGCGTCAGTGGTGCAAACAACGTGGCAACGTTGCTATAAATTGCACATGCGAAAGAGTGAGATAAAAAAGGAGGATTGTAAAGGAGAGAGAATGAATCCGAGGATTCAACTTGACGAAGAGAAGAAGGCCCCGTTCCGCGACCTACGATTTGCCCACGGGATTCTCCTTGTCTTTGTCTTGATATCCTTCTGCTTATGTCGTTTCTTCGGTTTTTTTTTTCTTTTCTTACATTTCTTGAACGGTTGCTTTGCCGATCCACCTCCAGCGGCGCTCTTTAAACCTACCGGTTTTTCTCAAGTCTCTCTTCCAACCCTTCTTTTCTATTTACGTTTGCTCAAACGGATTCCTTCGATGAGAGTAGACTATATGGAAAAGGTACCTTTTTTTTCTATTCTTCTTCTTTTTTTAAACTCGTCATTTTCTTTCTTACTTTTATTGTTATGTTACCCCGCAACCAAAAGCTTTTTTTCCCGCACTCAATTTAGAATTTTTTTCCCCATTTCTTCTTTATAGTAAAAAGAATGAAAACGAGTACGCTGCTGACGCATGCACAGTTGGCACACGTGCGCAGGTGGAGGAAGAGAAAATATCAGTTTGCACCGGCGTAATACAACGTGTTTTTACCCTCAGAGTGGTACGGGCTTTTCTTTCTTTCCCATGTTGGGCAAACTAGCGGCGATATCAGGAGCATAAAAGCAAAAGAGAAGGAGGAGGAGGAGGAGGAGGAGGTGATGGTGGTGGTGGTGGTGGACGTACGACAACGATGAGAATGTGGGAGAGGAGAGTGAAATCGACTTGCAGAGAGCACCTTCTCCTTCCACAGCTGGCTTGACTACGCGGTGTGGAGGCCTTGTCGTACGGCTGTTGGTTCGGTCAATGTCTTCTTGTTCTATCTTTTTCGCACTCTTATCCCTCAACTACTTGTCTCACTTGCATGATCCCTACCACCTTTACTTTCGTCTCCCTCTCCTGCGCGTTAACCTCCTCTTCCACCTTCGACTCGTCGCGACTTGCGAATTTCTATCCCTCGTTCCTCTCCACCTTCCGTTGCTTCTCTCTCCTCTTTTCGCCGCGTACGCGCGTTCCTCAGTTTCCCCACTACCCCCTCGCGTTGCACATCTCGTGCACGACATCCTCGACTCTCGTGTGCTCTCTCTGTGCCTGCTGCTGTCGCTTTACTTCATCAAACTCGCGCTCTCTCACGTTCGCTCGATCCTTCATCACCGCATACTCGTCGTCGTCAACATCGCCGTCGTTTTGGTCATCCTATTGCACCTCTTGTTGTCGTCGTGTAATAATCGCGTCGCCATATAAACCTTGTTATACACAACATCATCATCACCCTTTTATCCACTCTCTCTTTATCCCTCTTTCCCTTTCTCTCTCTCTTTCTCTCTCTCTCTCTCTATACCTTTGGACGATATTTCTCCACCTTTTATTCGTTTAATCGTTACACCTGAAAATATATCACCACATCAATTTATACATAACAATCCGTGTACAAGCATTTAATTATTATCAACTCTGTCCCTTGTACTCATCCTTTTCTTTACCCACCATTTTCTTATGCTCCTCCTCTGTCTCTACTCACTTACTCATCGTGCCTCCGTTCCGAAAGATAGAGAGAGGGACTCGTGTGATCCAGTTTGAACGTCAGAAGACTCGCGAGGAGAAGCAAGAGACGCACACGGCGCGGTGGCTCATGCGCCCGCGGAATCGCCAGCGGTAGCACTGTACAATCCCAACCAAAGATCATTTTTTCAAATTTTACTCCTTTTTTTCATCTTCATTTTATAACATATAGTGTGGTTTTTTTTTTGCAACGACGTTGTGGTGCATTTGATTTTCTTTTTATTTCTCTCCTTGTCTGGTTTTTTTTTATGTTTATATTGATAGCCTCACTAAGGTATAGAGAGTACGTCGCGAAAAAAGCCCATATCTAAAACCGGATTATATGCATTCGAATTGCTGAGTTATTTTTCTTAAAGGTGGGACCAACGTATTTGTGATTAAACCAGTGCTATAGTAGTGCAACTTTGTTTTTATTACGACATTAATATAGTTGACTTAATTACTTAATTGTTTTACTTGGTTCGTTTTTATTATCATACTATCTGGTGAGATATTAAATTGTTCATAAACCTTGAGTGTTTTATTGCAGAAAAAAAACATACACACACACACACACACTAATAATAATAATAATAATAATAATAAAAATAAGTAATGATAAACAATAATTGCAATGATGATAATAATAAAATAATAATGCATTGAATGTTTTACTTTTTCAGAGTGCAATAAAGTTAGCGGGTAAAAATAATGTGAAGAAGCTTCATTCATTGTTGTCGATAGTTGAGGAAAAACCAAAGGTGGATACCGGGCAGAATAATCGGCACAGTGATCATCACATCAAAAATCATTTTAAGCACAATCATTACACACATAATTCCATACTGACACCTTCTACTCTCAACCAGGTAATAAAATAAAAACATTTATCATCTGTTTCAATTAGTAAATCACTAGTAAAACATCAAGTGTTAACACCGACTATACTATATATGTATTGTATTTCAGGGCCTCGATGCAGGTACAAGTGACGATAGCGGACGAGCGTCGGAACAATTGCATGGCCCTGGTATACCAAGGGATTGCCAGGACGCTGACAGTTCCAGGGACCATCTCAGCGATGTAAGATTTATTTTAGTATTTTTATTGATGAATTAATAAAGTAATGTTGTAAGTTCACCACTGATATTGTAATAATTGTGTTTACAGGCTAGCAGCCATTGCAGTTCGGGTAAAGGTTATATCGTAAGTATCATCAATTATCTTTGATAGTTAATTCTGATGAGTCTAATAAAATTATGTATACTTGATGCTAATCACACGTTGTATCAATTTTCTCGTTATAGTGTGATAGTGAAGGAGAAGACGATAAGGTACGACTCTTGTTATTTTTATTTATTTCAATCATTTCTACTCTATTAAATGAGTAGTGTTGTGGTAATGAATGATTTCAAATGATTGGATACTTTGATTATTTACTAATTGATGAATTTTGCTTAAATCCAGGGCTCGGATGCAGAATCGATACTCTTTGAATCTTCTACCCCACCTCTCCCACGTAAATGTAAGTATCAGACGCAAGTGATTTAATGGTAAAATTGGTGGAATAAAATTAATGGTGATAATTTGATAATGTGCAGACGAGTTGCCATCTTCATCGCCGCACGTTCTGCCGCCGGCAAACGGCGCTGGGGGTTCTCCTCCAGACACCGGTGGACAAATTTCAAATCCAGCAACGGATGCTCCGGCACCAATACCTCCCCCTGTGCCTGCCTCAGCACCAGTTCCGACGGCGCCGAGTCCTCCCAGTCCAACGTTGCCCCCACACATATCCCAACCACCCGTGAGTATTAATTTACTTAAAGTACAAGATAATGAAGAATCCACTACTGATGAAATAATGAACGTTTATTTACAGATGACTAGTCCGCTGGCAGCAAATCCTCGTGCAATAGCTCCACAGCAGCGGCCAGCGTCCCCTGCTCTTCCACCGCCTTCTCTACCGCAACAGCCTCACACTACGATACCAGCGTTACATCCGCCAAACGTACCACTTGTCTCGTCGTGTCATACAACTAGTCCCGCAGTGGCAAGTCTCGGTGTGACGCCTGCAGCACCATCGAACGGGGCTGCTACCACCAGTTATCCACCGCCAATGCCGATGGCCGCGTATCCACAGACGCAACCATCGTATCCGCCTCTCTATACACCATACACGGCGCTCAATCACAGTCCTTACCTCCCTCCTGCTGTCCCGTCGCCTTCTCACTCAGCCTCATCGCGGACCGACGTGGTGAGTCTATCTCTCTCTCTCTTCATCATCATCAAGACAAAATGAATGACAATGAGATTATCGTCAACCATCGTTGCTCTTGCTAAAAAAATTCCAGAGAGGTAGTCGAGCTTCACCGTGCACCAACATCGCCAAGCAGACCATAGGAAGTACCACAACTAATCACAACAGTAGTAGTACTACTCCTCTCAGCGCTGCCACTACCACCTGCGTGTCTACCATAACAAACACTGTTACCACGGCCAACACTGTTGCTCACAGAGACATTGTAGCATGCAGTCTTGCCGGAAGAAACAATAATAATTCACCACGAGGCCACAGTCCTAATCGTGAGCGCGATAGCTACAGGTAACCGGCATAAAATTCAATACTTTGTCAGATAATAATATTGCAAATTGCCAATTAAATATTTTACCGTTACAGCAGTAACGTGAGTACCTTGAGTCGAGGCAGTATAACGCCTGTAAGTGTGCCAAACACCTCCTCCCCAGCCAATTCTAGTCTACCCGCTTACTCTAAGGCTCAAGGATGGATCAGGTGAGATTAATTCTCTCCTCCTTACTATGCTATGTCTACAATACTACTCTCACTTGACGTTTAACTATTTCAATTGTCTCTTACCTCACTCCCGCAGTAGCAGCACGACATCCCAATTATCACCAGCAACTGCTACGTCGGTGCCAAGGCCAACTCCACCGCCGCCAGCCACTCTAGGAATGCATAACTTCCCACCACCAATGTTTGCTGCGCCTCTTCCGCCACCAGTGTCCAGCTCCAGTCCTCATACTTCGTTACCTTCATTACCTCCACCAACCACCAATCCAAATCCATTCTCTGCAGAGTCACTCTTCCAATCAAGTAAGTTTTACCCAAGAATATCTCTCCCTATTGTCGAATCATTCTCGATATTGCAAATTGTTCAACCGTATACTTAATTCTGACTTGGCAAAGGGGTGAACCATGTTACAGGACAAACAGACCTCCTGAGGAGAGAGTTGGATAATAGATTCTTGGCTTCTCAAGACAGAAATGTTCCTGTGGCTGTAGGAAATCTTGCACCACCACCGTATCTTAGAACTGAAATGCATCATCATCAACATCAACATACTCATGTACATCAACACACTACACCGCTACTACCACCGCCTACTGCGACTACTCTTTTTCCTCCTCCAATAGTAAGTTTTATTTAAACCATTTAAATAAATTATTGTTATTTCTTTTACACTCCGTTTTGTCATTTTCGACATTTCTCATTTATACTTTCTCTTTTTAGTTCAAGGACATTCCAAAACTGGGTGGAGTTGATTCTCCATTTTTTCGTGGGAATATCAGTACTTTATCCAGTTATTCCAGCTTTAATGCCGGTTTGTTACATCCCGGAATGGGACCACCCTCGACGCCATTTGTTCCTCCAAATCACATGAGCTCGTTTGCACCAAAAGTAAGACATTACTCTACGTCACTATTCCCCAATATTAAATGGCAAAAAAATTACATATTATTTATGGTTACGTTTTATATATTGTAGAAGACTGGAAAATGGAACGCAATGCATGTCAGGATAGCATGGGAGATATATCACCATCAGCAAAAGGAGCAAGCAGAGGCCAAGGCTGGTAACGTCGTTAGTACGAAAACGGAACTACTCAGGCCTCCCGGTCATCTCTATCCAGGGGGTCCTGGAACTGGTCTTGGACTAGGAGCACCACCTATCGCTCCACCATTTCCTACCAATATGCCACCTAGCCATCCTGCTGCTCCACCACCTCCTCATCCTGTTGGCTTCCTTACTACTCCAACTTCACATTTAGGTATGCCTAGAGGCACTTTTATTATTTACATTCCTTCTTAAAGTAAAAAGAAGAATTTTCTTTATTAAAAAGATTTATGAAATAAGCTGATGCTTTACTTTTTTTTTTATATTAAGTTTAACGCGTAATTGCTTTTTAAATGAATTAATTTCATTTACTTAATTTTTTTGCTGTTTACTATTTAACTTGAATTTAAGTCTTTTACATGTTAGCTGTGACCTATTTTATTTGAACACCAACTAATAAAGCTAATTAGTGGTTCGACACATGAAAAACAATTCAAGTTTTTTTGATGTTGCATAATTGTCAACATAAATATTTGCAAATATCTCATTTTAAACTGTAATTAAAAGAAAGATATTATTTGTATGTAAAGTTCGATTTTAAGTCGATTCATTATCTTTTTTTTTTTAAATTATTCTATATATTTAAAAATTACAAAAATATTATAACTTTTTTGATTTATTTTTTTAGGTACGGGTATATCTCCATTCGGTCGATATCCAGCATCATTTGGAACACCTAATCCAAATTTTCCAACATTATCAGGATATCCGACAACGCGAGAAATACCTTCTTTAAGTGGGCTCACCACAACTGTTCATGATCCATGGAGAGGGTATGTAAATTGGCTCTTTACAATTTCTCTGATTATCGAATTTAAACTGATCAACATGTGATGATTAGATTGCAACGAGCAACGACTGGTTTTCCCCCAACAACTGCTGGCTGGAGTCTAAAGCCTGAACCACCTGCGATAGATAGACGTGCCGAGTTGGAGGAACAACAACGAGAACGTGAGCGAGAAAGAGAACGCGAACGTGAGCGTGAACGTGAAAGAGAACGTGAGCGGCAACGTAGAGAGCGAGAACGAGAGGAGCAACGTGAGAGGGAACGACGAGAAAGAGAAAAAGAAGAGAAGAGGAAACAACAGGAGGCTGCGGAACGAGAGCGAGAAAGGAGAGATAAAGAGCGTAGAGAAATGGAAAGGCGAGAAATGGAGAGGGAAAGAATGATGCATCAAAATCGTCACCACTCAGTGATGGGTCGAGATCGTTCGCCTTTGAGAAATGGCTCTGCGGTTTCAATGGATCCTACTGAAGTCCGGGTCAAAGAGGAGCCACGAAGTAAAGAAGACGATATTGTCATGCTTTCTCGAGCACCACCACCGGGACCTGGACCGGGACAAGGACCAAGTCCTATTCCAGATCCTAGGTATCATCATTCCCATCCTCATACTTATCTGGCACGACATCCACACAGTATGCCAAGTCCTCATACAATGTCAAGAAGTATGATTTCATCATTGAGTGGTCATCCAATGCAACACTTTCCACCGCCACCCTCAGGACCAGGAGGACAACCTACGGGACCCTGGACTTCAGATCCATTTAGAAATCCCTATCAGTATGATACTCTTCAGCAATTGCGGTATAATCCGTTAATGGCAGCAGCAGCATTCCGAGCTGAAGAAGAAGAACGAGCTAAACTTTATGCTGGTTATGGCCCACCTTCAGTCAATGCACTCAGGGCCAAAGACCCCAGTCCTGGACCACTTAGTAATCTTCATATGCATCACAGAGCAGGCCCCGGCCCTGGAGTATCAGGTAGACCTTTAGAACCATCGTTAATGCACAGTGGTGATATTCATAAAAAGGAGGACTCTTCTCAATCACGATGATACATCGCTTGTGTCCCGACATCATCGTCTTAGTGAATGAATGAAAAATAAAAATATGGTGCATCATTAAATGATGTTCATAAACCGTCTTGACTGTTGTCGTTGACATGCTAATAGAGTACTCATTCGATATTTTTCAAGCGACGAGTATCACGGGTAAAGAAAAGTGTATATAGACTCTTATGATATTTATAGACATTGCGGAACAAGATAAGTAGTAGGGGCGACAAAATATAAATGTGCGTTTAAATGCGTGACTTCTGTAAATCCGTATGATGCCTTGAAGAGAAGAAAGATAAATACAAGTGATAAAAGTGATTGTCAACAAGGCATTTCTAACAAAACAAATTGAATAGAAATAAATGAAAAATCATTGTGGTTTTTATGAATTCAATAGTGTGACTGTTTATTGCGCTATAAACTTTTATCATTAAATGATCATAAGTATGCATTACCGTTAATATCGTGTGTAAAATTACAAACAAATATTGTAGGGGGTTACGACACAGCTAATGCTACGTAATGAATTCACCGCTAGAACTGAACGAATATCTAGCATTACTCAAACAAAAAAAAATAAAAAAGTTATTTAATTATTTATTTATTGTGAAATATAAATAATGAATCTCTTGGAGAAGTATGAATAATATTAAGAAAGGTTCATCTTAATTTAATTGATGTAATATACAAACAAAAAATTATGTATAAATTTTACTCAATTTCTTTTTATATATAGAATTTAATTAATTTGCATTAGTCGAATGAAATTAGTAAAGAAAAATGTATAAATAATACGATTATTAAAAAAAAAAAAAACAGAGGAGAGGGACGAAGTAACCCTAGATAAATTGTGAAAAATCTTTTAGCATTCGTGGCAGTTGTACAGGGCACTCGGTACTTTCCTGTGATATAGTAAACATAATATGGGCCCTTAATGACAGTTTCACTATGATAAGAAGCGTATATTGTATTATGTTCCTCGCTTTAAAAAATACGCGTTCCCTTAGAAAACAAAAATTCAATGTTTTATCATCTATTTAAAATAATGAGTCTTCTCATATCGAGCTGCTGCTAATCAATACTTTAATTTATATTTTTAATTTAATTAAATAGTTGGTATTTTATTATCTTCCACTTAAATCACGGACAAATCCGTGCCAAAGTATTTAATGCAAATTAAACTCTGATAATTAATTCAATTTTAAACCGCAGCTCTCGATAAATGTTAAAATTCATTTTTAATATAATTATTGTGTTTTATTATTTTACTTGAGCGAGAGATACAAAAGTAAATAGTCGAAGGAAATTAAAAACTTATTTAAGTTTTTACTGTGTGTGCCATTGAATGGTATATTTTAATTGAATTAGAAAATGTTTTTTTTTTTCTTTACTTATTTAAAACAAAATTGCTAGGTCCCTCTTCACAATAATTTAATTCACACTGTGAAGTGACTGTGAAATTGTATATTATTAATATAAAATTAGTAAATCGTATACAGCCGAAGAATGTAGATATTTTTCATCAATGAAAAATTGCAACAATGAAATATGGATAAAAAAATATACAAGTGATGCAATGGATTTTTTGTTTTTGTAGATATCACAAGTATGCAAAAAAAAAAAAAGAAAAGAAAATTTTGTGTGAATAGATTCTTTTCTAAAAATTAATTTTTTGTAAAAGGGTCTAATAATCATAGTTTCTATCAAATTATTGGCATTTCGCTAAGTGTATCCTTCTAATCAGTCCTACAAATATTTAATTAATTCCTTTAAAACTTTTTTTGAAAAATAACAATTGATTATTTCTAAATTGTTTTTTTTTTTATTCATCCAACATTTACAGTATGAATTTATGCCTGAGTTATGAGACAAATAATCTTTTACATGAAATAGTTAAATCCATCGTGATAAATTTCATCATGTGATATTTATATTAAGATTAATCTAATAATATATTCGTGACCTAAATTATATCCATTTTCATAGTAAAATAATTAAGTCAATACACTTACAATTATTAAAAAGAAACTAAACCATTTTCGATCACGAAAAATTGTAATTTAGATGTCTTGAAACATCTAGAAATACATCCATTCAAATATTTTGTGTACATTATAAACATTCACGTACTCCAGCAGTCTCAATGATGCGTTATATGAGAATCAAGTGCTTAAATGGGTCCTTTCAGAAATATTGACCAAAGATTCTTTTCAATATTGTGTCATATTGTATCGCTATCGTGAACTACTCGAGCTAGACCGTGTATATCTTCGATGGCGATGACGAGGATTATTTATAGGACTCCTTGAACGTGTTCTCTGTCGGCGTCTAGGAGGCCTTGGACTACGTCTACGATTCATAATTGGCGAACGTCGACGATAACGTGGCGGTGAGTTCCTTCCTCCACCACCCCATCTGATTGGTCCCCGTCGTCCTAAAATAGGAGACATTCGTCGCATAGGAAGTGGTCGTGGTTTTGGCAATAAAACCGGAGCAGCAGTTATCTCTTGGCCATCAATTTGACCACCGTCCATATGTTTCATAGCATTTTCAGCTTCGTCAGCCGTTTCGTATTCGACATAAGCAAATCCACGCCCGTGATTAGGGTGATGTTTGTCCACAGCAAAGTCTACTAATTTAATATTGCCATATGTTGAGAATATTTCCATAATGTGTTCCTTTGTCACATTACGTGTCAAACGACCGATGTGAATTTTCGTGGGTCGAGGTATTGGAGAACGTTCACGACGCTTTCTACGTGGAGATGGTGATCGTCGTGGAGAAGGAGACCTATATGATAATGAAGGGTTTAGTATGCAAATACTTTTTTTTTTAAATTTCATACAAGATATAACTTTTATTACCTCGAGCGTCCTTTAGGTTTTGGTTTATCAGAGATTGAGTTTGAAGTTGATTTTTTCTTATCTTTATCCCTGTCACGTTCACGTTCTCTTTCTTTTTCCTTCTCTTTGTCCTTGTTATCATGTCTTTTGGCTCCATCAGCACTCTTGCTACGGCTTCGTTTACGATTTCGGTCTCGTGAACTCGCTGAAGAACTTCCTGAGCTGCTGGATGAACTACTAGAAGAAGAGCTTGATCGGGAACTGCTTCCACTACTGGAGCTAGATGACCCAGAGCTGCTATCAGAAGAGCTATAACCATGCATTGAAGATGATTACTCTAGTGCAAATGTTAAATTTAATAAATACAATAAATTAAAAATCAATGAATTTACCTGCTACCACTGCTAGAAGTAGAATCAGCACGCTTCTTTCGATCTTTTTCTCGACCTTTCTCACGTTTATCCTTATCTGTAGCTTCAGAATCACTTTTACCTGTACTGTCTTTTCTACTACGTGCCCTATGGTAAAAAATAATATAAGTAATAAATTCACTTTTATAAATTAAAAATAATTAATTCGAGAAAAATATAAAATTAATGAAAAAGACTTACATATTGCGAAATTCCAATCACCTTATTTTTCTGTTGACTTTAGGTAAATTTTTTAAACCAAAATATTAGTAAAGCTGCATAAATACAGATAATGGCGGCGATTGTTAAAAAGTTTTATGAAGTTTACTTTATCACAATACGCAATTTCAGATTAAAATATCATCAGATTCACTCCACTAATATCCATATACTATCTGCAGAAAATACCGGCGAAAAAAAAATGGAAAATATTAATTTTCCATGAAAAATTCACTCCAATAAACATTTACTATGTTGGCGTTGCTACTCGTTAGCTTACAGCCATAAGATTACGCATTCATCAGTAATGGAACTCGATTGAATCAATTTGACTGCCAGATGGCGCAAAGAATCTTATTAGAGGGCAGCACTGTTTAGTTCCTAAATTCAAACTGATATTTACGTTTATTTATTCATATTGAATTATTTATTATTGGTTACTAATATAAATTGTTTATATTTAACTAATTACTAATGAAAGAATAATCTCTAAAATTTTTCTAAATAATGATTTATTTTTTTTTAATACTTTTATTTTTCATTTCATAAAAGATCCTCAAATGAACTGTTGATGATCGAAAATAATGTTAAGTACCAAATAATTATTTTGTTATTTTAGTCAATTATAATTATAATTGGAAAGTACGATTTCAAATTTATAATAAATATTGTGCTAAATGAATATTGTCGGCAACTATTTTATCAAAAATCAATGAATATTTAATATATTATAAATTAATTGACCAGAATTGAATACATTCATTCATAAGAATTAAAATTTTTACAATTGAATTTTTTTAAATGATATAAAGCAGACCACTGGTTTTCAAATTTGTTAATTTCTTAATTAGTCAATTCAAATTAATAAACTAAGAACAACTTAATGAAATCAGTGTTAGCTTTTATGAGGAACAACTTGCCAAGATGACATTGGTCTTAATTGTAAGAAATTAATTTTCTTTTCGCCCCATCGAAGCCATAAAAATCCTATAATCACACACAAAATACTTTCAATATAATAACCATCAAGTATAGTATGGCAAATACCTCCAGACTCAATACATTGCTAAAAGAAAAACATATAAAATCAATACAAAAGATTTATTTCATAATATATCAAAGAATGATTAAGTCCTCGTACCTGACTTTCTATGGAAGTACTACAATCATTAGCAGCATCACTGGTACATTGTCTCCATGTTAAAGGTTCTACGAACCAAAGGGTTGCTGTTGCTGGCCAATTTCCACCAAGGTTTGATAAAGTATTTAAAAATGTCATATAAGTACCACCAACAGCTGGATCGCTAATTTTAGCAAAGAATGCCATTGATGCTACAAACATACTTGTGGCAGCAACCTATCATAATCAACAGTGTTATCAATGATTTGATATAAAAAATATAAAAGTTCATTTAGTTAAAAAAATATCGTCTTCTTTACCTGATGTATTGTATATAAAATAATGAGAAAAGCTGCATAGTACATGGATACTTCGCCATTTACGGCAAAGGAAGGAGTAATCCAGACTAAAAATGCAGCACACAATCCAAAAATAAGTCTGGAAAAATAAAAAAATTATTTTCCCGTAACTCATATCTTAATCTTCTATATTTGTATTACGATAGTTTTAAGTTTCAACGTTCATCTTATCTTACTTATACGGAAATGCTGCTAGATAAATATCCATAGGCCGCGGACCTGAAGTATATCTAGCAATAATAAAAGGCAGGAAAATTTGTAATGGTATCAACGGTACGGCCATTAAAGTAAGTTTTTCTTTAGGTACTCCCGCATCTATAAGCTTTAAACCAGAAACGGCATCACAAGCAGAAAAACCAATCTGAAATAATATACACAATATTATTGATAAAACATTATTATCGTTGGATATTACTTAACAATATTTACTGTCTTAAAAGACTTAGAAAACTTTTTTCAAGAAGTCACCTTTGCCGTGAGTAAGATGATAGCTGTTATTTTTATGGAAGGTAATTTCATCATTCGCCAAAGTAGCTGATACGCGTGTTTCACTTCAGTAAAGAAGTCCTGGCTTTCAGCGTGCTTTTCATCAATCTCGCGTTTAAACAAAGCAACGAGAGTTGTTGCTCCAATAAATATCCATCCCCAAAAATATAAAAATCCTTGAAAAGGATAATAATAATTAAATGTTTACATAAAAAAATCAAACTTCTTAAAATGAGTAAAAGTTTAGAATTTTTACCTGCTAATGTTACGATTCCTTCTGAAGAAGGTTCAGATCTCAAATAACTGTTGCAAAGTGTTGGTGATTCTAAAGCAATGAATAATACATATCCTAGAAAATATCCTGCAGTTTGTCCTACACTATTGCACGTAGACGCATATCCAACATTTTGCCTAATAAATCATCATTAATGAATTTAAAAAATAATCTTAATGTGTCATCATTTAAGTACCATACTTCTATTGTTTACTCAAGTTCTTACACGTCATAATACCAAAAAAAATTCTTTTTTCAATTGAATAATTAAATTAATTTACCTTTTCAACATGGTAAGCGCCCACCCATCAACAGCAATATCCTGAGTTGCAGCTAGGACATTTAGTGTGAAAAATAAAATAGTAAGGAGTCCAATATTGGGACCATTTTCGCTATCATCTAACCATTGATTCACATGCCTTGACAGAGTGAGCATAAACAACCCCATGGCATATTGAGTAGGAATTAACCAAGTCTTACGACGTCCAAATTTTCTAGAAAAAATTGCATCTACTATAGGTGCCCATAATAATTTTAATGAGAACGGCCATTGGACAAAACTGAATTCTGCCTGTCAAAACAAAAGAAGAAATATTAAGACTACTCATAATATTTATTCCAATAATATACGATAACAATCTGAAACGTATTTATTCAATAAAAGAATTACTTGTTGTTTATATGAAACATGTCGATTTTGAAGTAACATGGGAATGGCACTGGATAATCCTAGAGGAATGCCTTGCAACAAGTATAAAAAAAGCAAGAGTGCTATATTAGCCTCATCTCCACGAATGTCAGAATGTTCAACACCGTTCTGTTCAGATTGTCCATTTTCGATCTCTGATTTTTCATTTTTTCTCTTCATTTTAGTAATACTTTATATAAAACCTAAAAAAACAAGATAATTAATTAGTAATTACGTCGAAGTATTGAATAATGCAGTAGGTGTTATTGTTCTATTGACAAAAAGCAATTTGTAACAATCAAGAAACGTCACCTGTCAGGTGATAATTTGGAGCACTTTAGAATATGTATGAACAAAAAATAATTATCAATAACAGAAAGATGAAATTAATTCAAAAATCACTGGTAATTGACATTGATCAACTATTCAAATTAGTACACAAACTGTTTAATTTCTAGCACGATCATTGTTGACACCTACTTAACCTATTGTCACTTTTATTGTCGTGTGAAAAATAAATAATTATGAAATGCCACTCAAATTATTCAATAAATCTAGATAACTTGATTGATAATCCATTATTTAGAATCTTCACATCAATAATATTTCAATGAATAATCGACCGTCCTTTGCAAAATCCATGAATGATACTTCAAGCTGCTCAAACCAAACTGCCACGTTGTTGTGTTATATATAATCATACCTAAAACAGCTCCACGGACTGTACAAAACGGTGCGCCAAGTTTAAATGACGAGGATGATAATCAGTGTTCTTAAAATGCTATTATCGTAAATGTACATTATTTAAAAAATTACAAAAAAACGTGAAATCATTAAATGCCAAGTATTGTATTTCGAATATTAGTCACATTTATTAAAGTAAAATAGGTTAATTTTATTTGAAATAGTTTTCAATTGTTTAGAAAATTTACAAATCATTTTTGATACTTAGAAAGAAAAGGTACCTTAAAAAACATGTGGAAAAGTAAAAATACATTATGTTAAAAATTAAAAAACATAAAAAAAACACATCAAAATAGATTGAATAATTTTAATTGTAATATTTTGAAACTTAAAAAACTTGACGTGGCTATTACGACGCGTCAGTAACGATAAGACTACAGAAAAGACAACGACGTGAATAAAGTTATCAATAATAAATATTAATTACAATTATTTTCTTCAACAAAACGTAAAACTAAAAAGTACAACTCTCCCAATAGATACACCCCCAAAATTTCATTATTTTCGCTCTATCTCTTACCGGTCTCGAGATATGAGCATTTGTTTATAAAAATATCGCAAGTGATCTCATTCCTATTGTTTATCACAGATTGTAGAAAAAATGCTGAATTGGGTGCAAAACAAAAATTCCTAACATCTCAATATATATATTTCAGGTTATAGAATAACAACTAATGACACTATTCATTAATGATGAATCATAGTAAAGGAATTTGTTTTACTTTACAATATTATTTTTACATAAAATATTTAATAAATAAATGCAAAATAAATAACGGAAATTTTATCCAAATGTCACATTTGATCACAATGTACCAACACTAACGACATCTATGTTTCTGCTGTTGATAAAATAGTTCTCCGAAGGTACTTATCTTATGAGTAGGTAGACGTTCGAATATTGAATTCAAGCAATGACAAATAATTGAATTTATCTCAATCTGATTTAATTGTTTCTGTGTAGGAGACAGATTTTAATATTAAAAAAATTTTTAACAATTTCTAGAATAATTCTTACTTATTTAATTTTATTATAGAGTTTTTACAGTAATTTCATAATAAATAAATCGTGTTATGGAGTGTAAATAATAAAACATCAAAACTGTAATTGAACTTTTTTTTATTTCAATGAAATGTTTGTTTGTTTTTTTATATAAAATTTGTTACATTACATCCAGTTTAAATATTACCTGTAATTTTAATTACATACCAGAAAAAAAAAGAAATCAAATAAACTTTTACTTATACGTTACTTGAAAATAAAATCAACTCCGACTTTAATATTAATTTTTTCTTCACAAGTCCAAAAAAATAAGAAATCATAAAAATCAAAATCTTAAATTTTTTTTTCCCCCCATTTAATTCTATTATTAGACATTTTACCTTTTCGAGCAATTCGTGACAAATTTGATGAATTTTTTCAAAAGCGAAAATGAATGAACTAAATGAATATAGTATTTTCTAAATCGAATTCTTGAAAAATTTCAGAGTTTGGTGACTCCAACAACTCTATTTCATGAATAATTTCATTTCCTGTGAAAGCCTTCATATCGTAGCTGGCACACGCTAAAAATTGTGGTATTGTGAGCATGTCTAGCTCATACAATTTCCACAATTTCTGTATCCTTTCTTCGTACATCATATTATGATTTCGCATGCCCCGTCTAGTTCTATTTCCGAGTCTTAAAGTCTCATATTTTAATACTGCATTTTGTTGACAATGATTAATATGTTCAAAAGTCATTACTGTAAAGGAAAAGGATATATTTCAAATCATCGTTTCATTGAAACCATGGGCCATAACCACGCTGCAGATCAAAATCTTCTTCTAATCAGTGCATTTACAAATATGCATGTTTGACGCGGTTAATTGATACAAAAAGTACCTACAACCACCTTTCGCTATTGTAAGTATTATTTTGTCTCTGTATTTCTAATATAAAAAAAAATAAACATTTACTGAAGCTTGTTCCCATCTTGTTTATATTTTGTTTTCATTCTTTTTTTATACGTACACGCGCGTTCTACGAAAGAATAAATATCTTAACCGCTATTTTATATAAAAAGAATTTGTGTGTCTTCAATTACCTCAACGGGTGTCAAAACGCTCATTCGATGTTAGTAAACTTTCAAACAAAACTTTATTTTATTTGTTAAACTCAAAGAATTAAAACTTCTTTTATCACATAATAGAAAATAAATATTTATTTCAGTTTTTCATATATACCTATTTGATCTATTCATATAGGTACAGAGAAGCAGCTGAATTACTGCCATATAAAGTTGTAAGGAAAAAAATGAATTGTTGGCAACAAAAAATGAAACTTATAAGACTACGATCATTACGAATATTTGAAGCAATCACGAGAGTGCCAAGGTACCAACAACTGACGATCCATGATCAAGGGTTGATGAGCATTAATTTCGGATGGGTTGATAAAGATGTACGTTCATGCAGCTTCTTTGATAACGGACTAATTCAAAAACTCCTTACAAGAGTAGGTGTCGATACAGCATCTTTATACGTCAACTGTAGTCATAAAATCATACCAGAAAACATGGGCGTAAAAAAATCTATTTCGTGGAATATTGAGTACAATAATTATGTAAGTATCCTTACAATAAAAAATTTTTGTTTGGTAATTATATTATGATTATAATTTTTAAATGAAAAATTCAAATTTTTATAGAGTTTTCCAATCGCTTGGAACTTTATATCCGACAACAATGATAGTACTTATGAAGAACATATCATAGAAATCGATTCAAAGTTAACAGAAGATGATATTATTCCTGACAATATTTACTATAACTTTGATCGGAAAATCTATACCTCGTTATCAAGACAATTTCCTGCAAGCTCTATTCAAGGACTTTTCACAGCTCATTGTGAAATTTTACTCGCTCAAGCTCAAAATACCGAAGGAGTCCATCTAAGCGACGAAAATCATCACTTACTGATTACGAAATTTATCTGCCTAAGTTTATTACCAGCAGATAATATATACCAAGCTTTTCTTAATTTGTATTATGGAATTCCATTTGAGATTATAAGAGGTGGCTTCCTAGACTTTATCAGGTATTATTATCAAGAATGGATCTATGGCGTAGGAGTTCAAAATTATTCATGCAATAACATTGAATTACTTGCTGACACCTGTTATATTAACTAGAAGAAAATAATCTCAATGCTCAATGAACGTATGGACATTTACTAAAAAAATATTAAAATGGTACGCTAAATCTCATCTACAACTGAAAATTATTGACCGAAATAGACAAGCAACTTGGACTCCACGAATAAGGTCGTCAATTAATCAATCAAAATTACTGGAGATATGGTGGTATTTTAATAACAATAGAATGGATGTTCATGAGTTCTTACCTTGAAAGGCAAGTTCTTGTCTTGAAATTCACATCAAATCTTGTCAGTCCTTTGGTGAATGATTTTATTCATAATAATCTTGAAAAAATCTGCTTGTATATAAATATATAAAACGAATATCAGTGCTCTGCAGTAGTCTGGGTGCGACCCAAAAGGTCCACACGACAAACTTCCCAATGGAAAAAATGAAAAAACAATTCGAATAGAACCCGTTTCCATTCTTTATAACAAATGGAATTGTTATAAACGAAATGAGTGTGTTTTTATTCATTTGATATGGCTCGTTACTTTGTTTCAGTAAAAGAAAAAATTGTGCGTTAGAAGAATTCGAATATACCTCATAGATCCTTTTTTTCATTATTTACAACAAATTTCATTGTTATACACGAAAAAAGTATGTTTTCATTTATGTCATACGGTTGGTAACCTTTTTTTAGTAAAAGAAAAAATTATGCGTTAAAAGTACTCATATATGTAGAAAGGGTCCCTATTTTTATTGTTTATAACAATTTAAAACTTATTATTTAAATATTACTACGATCAATAATCACTTGTTAGTAACAATGTTTAATTGTTATGGACACAATTCCATATTATTGACTATTATAGCGTCTTTAATGCTATTTTCTCAATCCTGACACGCGTTTAACATTCTTACATTGCTGATTTTGTTTTTTAAAACTTTTTTTTTCGATGAAATATTGTCACCATATTTTCATACAAGTTTTCTAATCATTTAATATTCATATTTTTTTGAAGATTTCGAAATTTTGTCTAAAAAATGGTATAATTTATAAATTGAGAAATTTAGGTCATTTTCCATTTTTGCTAGTTTTTTGGTTCTGCAAAAAAAATGGCTAGACTGATTTTGCTGAAAATCTAATCAGTTCTAAGTTACATAATTACGCATCGAATGCAATTGGTCCCACATCGATATCATTTTTTGTTCTCGAGATAATTGAGGCGAAAAATAATTCCGAACGCACATACGTACATACACACACACAGACGTCTACTGGAAAAAGATCGTATTCGACTCTGGGGACCTTAAAACGTGGAGATATGTCAAAATTCGGGATTTGAAAAATCGGACCCATTACTATAACTTCTCACTGGAATGGTAAAAATAGATCCAAATTTTATTCTTGTCAAATTGGTCAACGATGAAAATAGTAAATACTCTTATATATATTTATATGAACCTACACATATGTATATAATTAAATAATTACAGATAGAGAGCTTTCAGTTTACGAATATGAGCCGAACGACCACATCTTCGAGAATAGAGTGTTAAACAACATACCAGTAAGGTAAAAGGCCCAATTATAAAACACTTCTGTATACGTTTCCGGAATTATTATAAAATATCAAAATGACTTTTTCTGTTACCAAACTAAAGTTTAGAGGTTTTTTTACTCCAAAAAAATTTTTTCAAAAAAAATCTACCTAAATTACATTGATATTTCAAGTTTTACTGTGGAATAAATGCTTATATCGATTTTTATTAAAAGAACAATTTTTTAAATTAATAATAATATAATTAACGATAATTTAATAATTTAATTTTTTAGTTTTATGATCACAGTAATGATATACATACTGAGAGT